GATTTATATTTACCCGTTAAGAGGCGCCCCCTCCCCCGCCGCCCTGTCACCTCGGCGCAGCCAGCCTCGGGCGCGGCCCGGCACTGCGGCACCCAGCGGGCACCCCGCCCCCGGCGCCCAGCGCGCCCTGGCACCCCGCTCTCCTGACGCCCAGAGCCCTGAGAGCTGACGCTCAACAGACGCCCCAAGGGCCCGCAGGCACCCCGACGCCCTCCCAGGCCCCGCGGCCCTGTACCTTTGGGCTCTTCTGTTGCTGCCCCAAGATCGGGACCCTACTGCCCCTTCCCCGACACCCTCACAGTGATACAAGTTCCCTCTTCCTCTATCCCTTCCCCTGGTCCCTGCTGCGCTGGATGCTGCCGAGTAGGACTTGCGTACGAAGTGCTCGGCCAGTCTTGTAGCGCCTCCTGCTGGAGCGCGGCTGGCCCACCTCGCGCGAAACTGTGGCCGCCGGGACAGCCGTGTCCCGATCGCTGACGGTCTGGCGGTCGGTCCTCATAACTCTCTTAGGCCCATTGTCCAAGGGGTCAGGACTGCCCTCAGACAACCCTCCCCAGCCCTTGGCCCGTTCCCTTGACGCTTAGAGACTTCGGGGGCCGCAGCGCCGCCGCTCTAGTGAAGACAGACCTCGGACTGTTCCCAGACTGGGCCTCACGGGGCGGGACGCTGGGGTGAGCACTTTTGGAGAGAGGCCGGGCCCTGTTTGCTCGGGAGCAGGGAGTTTAGGACCCAGGGGCAGCCCGGGGCGGCCCTCTGGGCAGCGGGAGATCCTCCCCCCACCTTCCCCGCCCGCTGAGCGGCTCAGATGTCCGAGTAGCGGCGGCTCTGGCGCTCCGCATCCTCTGTCTGCGGCGGCGGGCGCTGGCGGCCCCGACCCCTGCCCGGTCCCCTCCCCCAACCCCATGCCTCAGCTCTAACCCCGCCGCCCTCCCCCACGGGGGGCATTTCCCCGTGTCCCCTGCCCGCCCCGTCCAAGTCAGGCGCCATGAACGACCAGTACCACCGGGCGGCTCGGGACGGCTACCTGGAACTTCTCAAGGAGGCCACCAGGAAGGAGCTGAACGCCCCCGACGAGGATGGCATGACCCCCACCCTCTGGGCTGCTTACCACGGCAACCTGGAGTCACTGCGCCTCATCGTGAGTCGAGGGTGAGTACCGCACTGTCCCTGCCCAAGCCCCGCCGGGGAGGACTGAGAGTCTCAGGGCCGCTATAGGCCCCTGAGACACCACCCCCCAACTCCATGGCATCTCCCCCCCCCCCCCTTAAATTCAAAACAGGCACCCCAAGCCTCCCCCCCCCCCCCCCTCCACTGTGCCACCCTCTTCCCTAGGACAGACCCTAAGGTGGAACCTTGGAGATTGGCAGTCGTGGGAGGAGGAAACAAACTGAGGCCTGTGACATTTGTGACCTGGATGCGGGGCTAGGAGGAGAGGGACTGGGACTTGGGGGTCCATGGTTGTGGGAGGGGCTTCAGGGTGAGGAGGTGGGAGGGATCTCCTGGGTGGGCAGCACCAGGAAGCAAGAGTGAAGGGCATAGTGAGACTGGGAGAGAAAGCGCAGGAGCCTCAGAGGGGCCGGAAGCGGGGCTGGGAAAGGAGAAGCCCTTCACTGCCCACCCCCAGCCTGTGGTCCAAGGGGTCCAGCCGGCTCCCACACCTCCCCACGCACTGGATTCCACACAGCTCTCTCCCTGCTCATCCCTGGGACTTGTGGGCACTGTCCACAGTGCCAAATGTCACTCGGCTCAGCCACCCCATTAACTCCCTCTGTGCCCCTCCCCCACCACGGGCTCATCACCCTCTCTTTGGAGTTGTCTGTGGGGAGGAGCGGGCACTGAATCCAGGTGTCAGGGCCAGGGAAGGGGTTAGGAAATAGCAGCTGAGGAATGTGGCGTCCAGGGCCACTCACATGGGCTCCCTACGGCTAAATGGGCTCAGGCCCAGCACACACGACCCTCGTCCTCTTTTTCGGTCACTCCTGCACTGGCAGCCACACTCACCGCCGTGCCTGCCTAGAGACCCACACTCGGCCCTGGCCCACCACCTCTCTGGGCCTCTCTGTGGACAACTTGCCAGCACCAGTGGTTTAATAAAGAGAAGTCAGCTTGACCTGGGGACCAGGGAGGCCTGGACAAGGAAAAGGGATGTACGAGATGCCCCAGGAGGGTTAACATGAACATCTCAGGCCCTGGGAAATCCTGGTGGAGGGAAAGGGGCCCGGCTGGCCTGGTGCCAGGAGCTGGCCTGTGGTTTGAGCATGGGGTACGTGGGGAACCTCCCTTTGCCCTCCCTCCACAGCTGCTCCCCGGGCCCAGCAACAGGTGGAAGCAGCCCCTAAGATCAGGCAGCTGAGCCATGTTCCAAGACGCGGAGACTGGCCCCTGTCCATGCGAAGAGGGTACACAGTGATCTGCCATTCTGCTCCCCCCTTGGAGAGATTCGTGGGAGGAGGGGACTAAGGGGCCCCCCTTGGTGCACCAACCACCCCCCCCAGCTCCTACAGAGGGTGAGGGTTGGTGCTTGATGGGGTGTGGGCCAGATGCCCAGTAGCTCCTGTCTCGAAGGACTTGAAGACCAGTAAGGGAAGTGGGGAGGGGAATGCGGGGGGTTGGGGGCTGGGGAGTGTGGGCAGGAGCTGCTGAGACAATGAAGTGATTCTTCCTTCAGCCCTGCGGGGTGGCCCCCTCATTAGAGTGGGGCAGAGGGCCTGAGCTAGGTCCCTGAGGGAGGCGCAAGCTTGGAGGAGCCAGGGGGAGGGTGCTCAAGGGGGGCACAGTCTGGCGTGGAGGGTGTTGGAGGGGGCTGCGTGGGTCCCTTGGACCTGCCCGAGCCAGCCACCTCACAGCGCTCCCGAAGATGGGGCCGCCCCGGGAGGGGAGGGCAGCTGGGCCCAGGCTGCAGGCTGCCCTTCCCCTCCCCTCCAGTCCTGGCTGCCCCCATGCTCCCCTCCTGGCCCAGGCCAAGACCCGACACCTGCTCTCACACGCGGCCTTGCCAGGCCTGGCCCTGCTCCCTGCAGACGTGGCCGTGCCCGGCGACACGCAGGCACGCACCCTCACACACTCCCCCAGGGCTCAGGCCCAGCACACACGACCCTCTCGTCCTCTTTTTCGGTCACTCCTGCACTGGCAGCCACACTCACCGCCGTGCCTGCCTAGAGACCCACACTCGGCCCTGGCCCACCACCTCTCTGGGCCAGCTCCCCGCCGGGCCCCATGAATAATTCACTCCTTTCTCTCTGGGCATTAAATATTTATCCCCTGAGATTCCCAGCCCTCAGTTCTCTTGGGGAAGGCCCCGCCCCGGCCCCGCCTTCTCTGTCGCCCCACCCACTGCGAGCCTGGAGCCATCTTTAACCCTGGGCTCGCTCGAGCTGCGCCCGGTGGCTCCGGGCTGTGTGTCTCCCGGAGTCAGAGGAGAGATCTCAGGCCGTCGAGTCCCTCTGGTGTGCCTGTGGGGAAGCTCATCCAGGCTGGGCGCTCCCCCCAACCGGCAGCCGCTGCCGACTGCCTGGCTGAGCTTGCGATGGCTCATCACCCCTCCCCGCGTGTCCTCCCTGCAGGGGTGACCCGGACAAGTGTGACATCTGGGGCAACACGCCCCTGCACCTGGCAGCTTCCAATGGCCACCTGCACTGCCTCTCCTTCCTGGTGTCCTTCGGGGCCAACATCTGGTGCCTGGACAACGATTACCACACGCCGCTGGACATGGCCGCCATGAAGGGCCACATGGAATGCGTGCGCTACCTGGACTCCATCGCGGCCAAGCAGAGCAGCCTCAACCCCAAGCTGGTGGGCAAGCTGAAGGACAAGGCCTTCCGCGAGGCGGAGAGGCGCATCCGCGAGTGCGCCAAGATGCAGCGCAAGCACCACGAGCGCATGGAACGGCGCTACCGGCGCGAGCTGGCCGAGCGCTCGGACACGCTCAGCTTCTCCAGCATCACGTCCAGCACCCTGAGCCGCCGGCTGCAGCATCTGGCGCTCGGCAGCCACCTGCCCTACTCGCAGGCCACGCTGCACGGCACCGCCAAGGGCAAGACGAAGATCCAGAAGAAGCTGGAGCGGCGCAAGCAGGGCGGCGAAGGCACCTTCAAGGTCTCCGAGGACGGACGCAAGAGCGTGCGCTCGCTCTCGGGCCTGCAGCTGGGCAGTGACGTGATGTTTGTGCGCCAGGGCACCTACGCCAACCCCAAGGAGTGGGGCCGCGCCCCGCTCCGGGACATGTTCCTCTCCGACGAGGACAGCGTCTCCCGTGCCACACTGGCGGCCGAGCCTGCGCGCTCGGAGGTCAGCACCGACTCAGGCCACGACTCCCTGTTTACCCGCCCGGGCCTGGGCACCATGGTGTTCCGCAGGAACTACCTGAGCAGCGGGCTGCACGGCCTGGGCCGCGAGGACGCGGCGCTGGACGGCGCGGGCACGCCGCGGGGTCGGCTTCAGAGCTCCCCCAGCCTCGACGACGACAGCCTGGGCAGTGCCAACAGCCTGCAGGACCGCAGCTGCGGGGAGGAGCTGCCCTGGGACGAGCTGGACTTGGGCCTGGATGAAGACCTGGAGCCCGAGACGAGCCCGCTGGAGACGTTCCTGGCCTCCCTGCACATGGAGGCCTTCACCTCCAACCTACGGCAGGAGAAGATCGACCTCGAGGCGCTCATGCTGTGCTCGGACCTCGACCTCCGCAGCATCAACGTCCCCCTGGGACCCCGCAAGAAGATCATGGGGGCCGTGCGGAGGCGGAGGCAGGCGCTGGAACGCCCGCCGGCCCTGGAGGACACAGAGTTGTGAGTGCCCAGAGCCTCGGTGGGGATGGGAAGACAGGGCTTGTAAGGCCCTGGGGTGGGCGTGGATCTGTCTGCCTTTTCGGGTGGGGGATAATAACTAGGTCGCCGTCAATTCCAAGAGGCCCCACGTATTCACCCCCAATTCGGAAAAAGAAGCTGCCAGGGTACATTGCTGATGTCAAGTGCACCTCGATTTTTTTTTTTTTTTTAATTTTATTTATTTACTTTTGGCTGTGTCGGGTCTTCGTTTCTGTGCGAGGGCTTTCTCTAGCTGTGGCGAGTGGGGGCCGCCCTTCATCGCGGTGCACGGGCCTCTCACTATCGCGGGCTCTCTTGTTGCGGAGCACAGGCTCCAGACGCGCAGGCTCAGTAGTTGTGGCTCACGGGCCTAGTTGCTCTGCGGCATGTGGGATCCTCCCAGACCAGGGCTCGAACCCGTGTCCCCTGCATTGGCAGGCAGACTCTCAACCACTGCGCCACCAGGGAAGCCCGCACCTCGATTTTGAAGAAGTCAAAATGCAGGAAAATGGGTGTCTTCATATGGATGAGACCCAGTAGTCATAGTAATCACAGCCGGGACGTTTCGAGCCCTCCCATCTCCTGGGTACTGGAGTTGCCCTTGCACAAGTCCTCTCATGTGCAGGGGCTGTATCATCCCCATTTTACAGGTGAGCAAGTGGAGGTTCAGAGGCTTAGAGTAGCTCACCCATGGTCCTGCTGCTGCTCAGTGCAGAGCTGGACCTGATCCCTGGTCTGTGTGGCTCTAGAGCCTAGGGAGGACAAGGTGACTCCCGTGGGATGGAGGGTGTGGCAGCCAGTCATCTCACCAAATGCCCAGGCCCTCAAGGCAGATATTTTACCTACTGGTCCCTGAACCTTGTAACCAGAAACATGAGCAGATACTCTCAACAGGGCCAACGGTGGCCTTGAGGGCAGGGTTCAAAAAGCCATCATGGGGAGCCCAAGGCTGCTGTCAAACTGGCAATGCTGTTGGCCCATCCCTGCCCTGACTCTCCATCCTGGCATCCCACAAGCCCAGCAAACACTGCCGCCCCCTTTTGGTATCTATGGCCTTTACCCTGCATGGCTGGGCAGGGGTGGGTTTGGGAGGAAGTCTGGTTTAGAGTTTGGGGCCAGCGTCCCCATCCCTGATCATCGGTCTGCCTAGAGAGGTTAAGTGGTCAGAATATTTGGTCCTGACTTAAAATGCTGTCTGCAAAGGCCCTTATCTGAGGTCTGTTTCTGTCTCTTTCTCCACAGATAACAGGGACTCCTATCCCCATACCAAAAGAGTTGCAAGTTGCCACACCCACGGTGGGACCACGAGGTCCTCACAGTTGCCAGCCCTGCAGCTCCCCAGCCGCTTCCCGGGAGCAAGGACCATGCGGTCATCTCCCTTGAAAGCCTGTCCCCACTCTGCCGCAGAGGGTGTGGCCTGGAGGCACCTGGAAGGCCAAGAGAGTGACTCAGAACATCAATTCTGAGGGGTCCTGGGGCCCCTAAGCCACCTCTCTCTGAGTGGCTCTAAAGCACGTGTGCATTTGTGGAAGGCCAGCCCCAGTGCCAGGGCAGGGGCCACTAGATGATCAGCCCATCAGAGCTGGATGGGAGCGTGTGGTGCGAGTGGGCATGGCTTGCCCCGGGGCCGTTGTCTGTCCCCACCCCTCCTCTGCGGGTCCTGTGGTCTGCTCAGTCTGGAGACTCCCCTCTTACATTTTTGTGCAGGAAGAGTTTGGGCTGCCTCCCCTCCCGCTGTACAGCCCAGAGAGGAGGTTCCCAGCTAGACTCTTCAGCCAAATGCCCCAGCTTTAGTCCCCACCCCGCCCCCAGCACGGCCAGTCCCCTTCTCCTTCCCCCACTGGCCATGCTGGGGAGTTGGAGTGCCAGGCTGGGCTGGGGTGGGGGTGACCGGTGCCCTTCCAGCCTACCCTGGGGTGGGGCCCAGCCTGACTCTGCCCTCCCCGCCCTGTCCTCCACTCACTCTCTCCTTGGTTGTACAGCCCGGTGCCCCCAACCCCAGGGACCCCAGAGGGTCAGGGCAACAGATCCAAGGTGCTAGAGCAACTGGCTACAGTATTATGGCCCCGAGGCTCGTCGGGCATCTCTGGGCTGGGGAGAGGCATCTGCCAACTGGCTCAGAGTCTCCCAGGCCCAAACCAGGCAGAGACTGGTTGTGGCTGGGGGTCCAGCCTTGTGTGGGCAAGTCCTGCCATGTGGACACGGGAGCCTGAGGATGTGGACAGTCTAAACTGCTGATTGCCCCCAGGTCCCCAGGGCTCTGGGCAAAAGGTCTGGAAGCAGCTGGGTGGCTGCCTGATTCTGCATGGGTAGCGGGTAGGGGAGAGTTCTGCACGGGTCCCTGCTCTGTGATGCTGGTGAGACCAGGGGAAAGGCCAGCCTCAGAGGGTCCTCAGACCAAGGTCACGGATGTGGGAGGGTCACTCAGGAGCCCACACGGTGTGCACATATACACCGCATGCAGATGTGCCCTTTTCCTCCTCTGTCAACGATGGTGCCCGCGTCCCTGACCCTCAGCTTAGGAAGCAACTCCTACCGGGAGCATTGCCACAGCCCCCGGCTCCTTCCTGGGCCCCCCTTGGCTGGTGCAGGGGAGAGAGAACCCCCCCAAAACGCCACAGGCCTCCCTCTGGTGTGTCTGTCTGAGCGTGGGTCCCCGGGCACACACCTGCTCAGAGCTGGGGGCGTGATGGAGGTGGTCCCTGTTCCCACACTGAAGGCTTGGTTGCCTGCCACTGCCACCCTGAGCCCACTGCAGTCCTCCCCGTTCTCTGGGCCTGGGGCCACCCCCAAGTGCCGACTTGACTTTCCCGGAGCCCCAGGTGCTGCCCTGTCTCTCCTGCTCCCTGTCCGTTTACGGCCTCAGCCCCCTCCCTGTTCTCTCAGTGCTGGGGTGGGGCGGGCCCCCCGATTCCCACCACTGTACAAAGTACCCCTCCCTCAGGCTCATTATAATTTTTGTAGAGAACCTTCCCCATCCTTGTCATGCCTGTGTCTTGTTTTAATCATTTGGCGGTGGGAGATGGGTAGGGTGAAAAAAGCAAGAGGGTGGAGGCGGGAGAGGGAGAGGGTCTTTTTGTGCCTATGGGACTTGGTCCTCTTCCTTGGAGGGGGTCCTGGGGTAGATGGTAGGGCACTCCCCCACTCCATGCCTCTCTGCAGGGCCCTCCCTCATCCCCGGGTCTTCACCTTCCTCTCTCTCTGGACCCAGAATTTAGAGCTGATGGAGAGGGAGGGTTCAGAAGAACTGGGACAGGAGACCGCCCCCCCCAGCAGCTGAGTGAGGTGGGTGGTCCAGGCCTGTCCGCTGCAGCTGCTGAGGGCAGGTCAACACTTCCTGCCTTCCCACCAGGTCCCCCTGAGCTTCTCCAGACATGGGCAGACGCTGTACACTAGGAGGCTGTCACCTATCACCAAGGTCCCATGAGCCCCGATCTCAAGGCCCCAGCCCACCCCTGGGAGGCCTCCAGTGGGGTCTCCATTTCCCTCATCACCCCAGGCAGCTCAGGTGGCAGCCCTATTTAGAGCCGTCCTTTCTCCCAGGGGTAAGGCTTCCCCTTAAGCTGCAGGACAATGGGCTCTTGTTTTCTTAGTCAAGTCTGGGGAGGGGCCCTGGAGTCATTTTGTTTCATTCCCTAAGCCTGCTGGGCCAAGTGCTTCTGCCAAGGGCACTTCAGGACAGCCTCTTCATCAGAAATGTCCACAGGACATTGGTGCAGCAAGATTGCCCAGCAACCATCTAGCGATTCTAGGCCACCTCCCTCCACTTTACAGATGGAAAACCTGAGCCCTATGGAGGGGAAAGTCCAGACCCAGAACACAGGCCTCCTGACTGCTGCCATGCTTTCCTCGCCTCCAGGCTGCCAAGGGGGCCAATAAAGACGCGAGATTCTGCCCTCGGACTCTCCTCGTGGTTCCTCCACCCTGCGACGCCTACTGGCCGTCCTGGTCACTGCACCTACCTCACGAAAGACCAGCTTCCTGGCGCCGCTGGTCCAGGGAAGGACATGGGGGTGAGGACCCGTAAAGACAAGATAGAGGAGGTCGGAGCTTCAGCGTGGAGGCAGAGACTAACCGGAAGCAGTGGGGGCTGGAGCTTCCTTGGGTCAGTGTGGCTGGAGGGCAGAAGACTGGGGTGCAGGAGCAGGTGTGGCTCCAGGAAGCCTGAGGGTACTTTAAACACAGTGAAGGCAAGAACTTTACACGGCAGGGACTCAGCTTTCTCTACCTGTCCCCCTAAAAATTTAGATGGAGGTTAGGGAAATTCTAAAAAGCTAGAATAATGAATGATTCTTCGCTTTTGGGGATTAGAATCTGGTGCCAATATGGACACTTGCCCTGGGAAAATGCACGTTGAAATACGTATACACTCACATACAACTTTCCTCGTAATTCCAGACACAGCTCCTGAAGTGCGGAGAGGTCCGGGGGCCCCAGGTTAGACTGCTGTGAAGTTACATCATCAATGAGATTACCGATTTGATGGAGGTGGGAGTGGTGGAATGAATCAGAGGCAGGAAGGACCTCTGGGTATGTGGCACAGACTTCTCTCTCTCTCTCTTTTGTTTCTTGGCTGCTCTGGGCAGCATGCAGGATCTTAGTTCCCCGGCCAGGGACGGAACTCCTGCCCCCTGCCGTGGAAGCGCGGAGTCTTAACCACTGGACCGCCGGGGAAGTCCCACAGACTTCTCATTTTACAGATGAAGTAACCGGGGCTGCATGGCAAGGGGCTGGCCAAAGATCAGAGAGCAGTCAAGTGAGCAAAGTGACACTAGGTCTCATGATGCTTCCCATGGTGCCAGCTGCCTCCTGTCCCCAAGTTAGACCAGTCCTGGACAGCACCATACCCCTGTCCTCCCAGCATGTGCCTGTGTCACCTTCTCTGAGACAAGCCTGGGTTGTACGGGAGGTGGCCATGCTCAGGAGACAGCCTGATCTGGGCAGCAAAACTGGCTCTGCCCCTTTTTAGTTGTGTTGCCTTGGGCAAGTTACCCAGTCTCTCAGAGTCTGTTCCCTCATCTGCAAAATAGGTATTACAGTTTATTATAATATATCAATAAGTGTTAACCCCGCAGGTCATTAGGAGGGTGAAATGATTATGCGCGGAAAGCACTTAACATGCTGCCCAATATTTACTGCACATCAGTTACTAATGATCACAGTTATTGGTGGTCTGAAACAGGCCCATGGGGCACTCCTTGCATCTGTGGTCCCAGCCGCTCAGTAGGTGAGTCCTAGGCAGTTCCAGGGAGCAGTCCTGCTTTTCTGACCCCTATATAAGAGTGAACCCCAGCCGCACCAATCACACTAGCTCCTGGAGACGGCTCTACGGGCATCCTCATCTGACCAGCAGGGGGCGTTGACAATCCAGCCAGCGGTTAAGAAATAGTCAGCTAGCCACCATCTAGTGGAAGGACCCAGGGAGAAGCCAGAGCTGTTCCTGAGGTGCCCAAGAAGCTGGGTATCTTTTACGGAGGGGGAGTTGCATGCCCACTGGCCTGGGCCCACCTCATGCTACTGTCTGAACTTGACCAAGGCAGGTGAGGGGTTTTAGCCTTCATAGGTGAAGATATTGAGTATCAGAAAGGTTTTCTGATGTGCCCAAGGTCCCAGTAAATTAAGAAAAGTTCAGGATCCCTGACCTTTGTCCCTTCTGCCACCCCTATGCCCAGAGGTAAGCTTTCAAGTTTTTACTATCAATTGTTGAGAGCTTGTAAGGTGTCAGGTGCTTATGTTAAGCACTTTATATACATTTACCCCTCACAATAAAATCACAACCCTGTAAAACAAGGAACATATTGTGATTATTATCCCCTTTTACAGGTGGGAAAACAGAGGGTCAGAGCGGTGATATGACTTGCCCAAAGTCACAGAGCTATTAGGTGGTGACCTAGGCCTCAAGGACAAATGTCCGTGATACTGAAACCTGCGGGCCTAACCACGGTGCTGTAGGCCCCCAAGCACTTGTACTGTACCCTTTGATGGGTCCCCTTGACCTGGGCATGCCTGGTCCTGAGCAGGTGCCAGACTCAGCCTGAGGTGGGGTGGGGACATGCCGGCAGCTTCAGCAGCCCAAGCACATGGTCTGAGACACAGCGCTCACCTGCCCTGGGGGGAGCTGGGCTGAGAGAGGGCAGGCCGGGTCATGGGGCCACCGGACAGGATACTGGGGGACAGTTTGGGAGGGTAAAAGCTTTGTGTCTCAAGCCTGCCGAGATGGGGGAGCAGGCCTGCAGAAGTATGTCCTCCCAGAGAGTCTGCCTGCTTTCTTTTTGTCTTCTTGTCTCTTGGTCCCATTTCTCCCTATGACACTGGGACTCCTGGTGTCCCCCTCTCTCCCCCTCTTTCTATTATCTCATCTCTACAGGCCTCAGTCTCTCTTGGTGTCTGTG